AGGAAGATTACTTTTCATAACCTAACTAGAGCTCACTTTCTGTTCCTTTAGGTACACTACAATGCAACTGATTGTCAAACTGGCTTCCCTTTTTTATTATGTTATATTGTACATTTTTATTGCCAGTGAAACTCATGCATGTATGAGACATGTCCACGTGAGACATGTATGTGCATATAAATGGGTGATGAAAACAATTAAACACAGAAAATTAAGCAATCTAGACAACATTTAACAGCTTCCAGTATAAGCCAGTCAACACAGATACTGTTAACATAAATACAGAAATAAATAGTAGCTTTGTGACACATTCCTAATTTAGAAAAATAAGAAGGCACAACAATAGGGATAAAAAGAGACACCTCAGATCATGATCATATTGAGGATTTTATTTACAAATAATGAACTGCCAAATCAGCTAACGTGTTTCGGTGTGAAGCATTCATCAGAGAAAAAGTCTTTTTTTATCATTCTTTCATTTCATATTGTACACCATGAGAGAAATCGATGTGACAGTTTTCTGAAACGCTGAAGAATTTATTTGTCTAGCCCTGCTCACCACACACAAACCCATCTCTGTCCCTCTCTGTGACACATTGTGTCTTTTTATTGGCCCCCTCCTGTCTGACTTTTCTATTCAGCTATCATTTTGATGTGATCCTCTATCATACTCCTCCTTGGTTGTAAATATGTGCACAGCTAAGTAGACCAGACCAATATTTCCCCTTTCATGGCCCCACCACCTTGTCCCTTTAGTCTGTAAATCGAAGTGTCTTCCCAACAGTGTGGTTCAGAGTTAAACTGGGAATGTAAATACCTTTGTTTCAGATTCTATTAATTACTGCTCTGTCTCTCTCTTCTCTCTCGCTGCTTGTCTCAAACCACTAATAAGATTCCAGCCCATTAGTTTTGAACCATAACATTAATTAAACGTTTTCCTCACAATCTGAATGCTACTAATATTACGCAATTATCTCTTACTGTTGACGTGCTGGATTAATAATGATTTTCTTTTGCACCTTGCATTGAGGCCTACTTGACACCTGACATTTACACCTGGGCTGTTCTGGAGAGATTGCAGTAACACTGCAAAAAGACCTCAACAAAACCTATACTACAAAATGTATCTGTTTATTGCTCCACAATGCATTAATTCCTCTCATTCATCACAAAATCTCCTCAAGGTACAATTGACTGTGCTCTTCTAAAGAAATACATAATAAGGTCTTGTAGATTGCAGGGTATGTGTTATTTTCTTTCTGCATAGACTAGGACAGTCTGGTCAATATTTGTGAAAATGAGCTAATCAGAAACCAAAGACTCATTCACTGACATCAACACAACACGTATTTGATTTTTAACCCTGAAAGTAAATCTGTTGTAGTCTACATCAATTACCAACATTTTGTCAGACCCCTTGGCATCTCCACACAGACGCACAGGTTACCCTTTAGTGTCTGAGATGCAGTGGGCTGTCATGTAGCTCCAATATAACCCATCCGTGTCAGGTGGTGTAGTGTAAAGAGCAAGCCATGTAAGGAAGTGGTTGGGGTGGGTGGAATGATGGGTTAACGCAGGAGACCAGGCTTTGTGTCCTATGTGAGACCAGAAGTCATTTAAAGTTTTATGTTTCGGGTTAGGGTTAGGGTTAATGTTACGTACGTGTCTTGCTGCAGTAACGGCTGTCACATGACAAACCTATTTTAATCCAAATCATGATGTTTTCCTAAACCTAACCAAGTAGTTTTGTTTTCTTTAAACCTAAAGAAACTGTGACCATTTCACAACGTTAACCAGTTAAAAAGGTATCTCATACAGACGCTAAAGGGTGCATTGTGTTTCTGTATGAGGCGTCGAGGGGTGTGACAAACCGGTCATCTGGGATGTTAAAGTGTTTAGTACTGACACTTCTATTATATAGAATTACAAGAAGAGCTTCAGATATTGTGTCCTAATGACATTAAAGCCTAAAATCTTTATAGTTTTAATAATATTACAGTTTAATAGCTAAATAAGAACAAATAAATAATAGTAAAAGAAACAGGGCAAGAAGCAGTATAACATTTTAACAGACAATAATGTACTCACATTCACAACTGCAGGCAATTTAGAATCTACAATTAAACTAACCTGCATCTCCTGCAACTCCAATCCACGTCAGAAACAGTTTCTTTGTCATTGTATTTATAAAATTCTGTCAGGGGCAACTCAGTTTTTAATGACACGGTGATCCCTGGTATCATGTTACTTTACATAAAAAATCACAGTGAGTTCCACACCGTGTAGTATACAGCACCATGTGCCACCCAATATACACTATACAGAGCAGTAAATTCATCCTGCTGCATGAACTTTGGGCACTAAGGAAAACGTGGTTTCAAAGCACCTGATAACTAATCACATCCAACTAGGAGCTGCTCAGGCATATTGATCGCTTTTTATTCTCAATTTATCACTTCACAGTTTAGTTGTGAGGGAGTTGAAGCTACAGCTCATTTGTATTTTTTTAGCCAACAGGGGGTAAAAAATAATGACTTCACTCACCAGCTGAAATGCACCCAAACTCACTAATCTGAGTATCCTCAGGAATGCTGAGGTATCACATTTGATTGACATCCTCCTGTTTAGTTCAGATCACAACTCGAGAGCTAATGATTGCTGAGATGGGTTTACGCTTTCTGGATCTGCAAATTCACATTTTAATGCTCCAGGATAAACACTCACTTTTGCTTTTAACATAAATTACTTTATGCTTTTCTAAAATTAATCTTGAAATAGATTTTCTCTGCAGGAAAAAGTGTTAAATGTATTTCTGCGTTGTCTAGAATATCCAGGGTAATGCAACATGACAATTAAAGCTGGAGGCTGGGCTATAAACTTTTTGGTAATGAATCTGAGCTATCGCTCTGATTCATTTTGACACAGCCTATAAGCTTAAAACACCATCTGTTTCTGCTGAAGTTTTAAGTGGTGAAACAGAATGTTAAAAAACTTCAAGCACTTTCAATATGTCACATACAGTAAGTTACACTGTTGCAATAGCTGTTTGTCAGAGTTACAAATTTACAGTTTAAAGATGGTTGAAAACAGTAAGCTTGCTTTTTCTTCGCTCACAGTTTGTTACCATTGCTGTTTTGTGTTTCATCATTAAGTCTGATTGTTTGATGGAAGATATTTACCTGATGAAATAAATCTACTTGCAAGTAAGGTTTATCACAGAATGGTAATGTTTTTTTAATATTATGCATTTTAATTATTTACTGCATTAGCTAGTCTTATATATATTACATATATATATGTAATATATAGGTGTTGGTATGTAAGGTATGTTTTTGCTCTATTTTGTAACCTGCTGGAGATGAATAAAGTAATAAAGTTGGCTTATTTAACTCAATCATGATAAATGTCATATAATAGTATTAAAGTCTGTATATTGTTATCGCCACACTGTTTCACTGATGTTATTTATTAGGTTTTTATTGGTAGAAATCATCAAAGTTGCTTCAGCAGCATTTATAGTAAACTTTTACTGCAGTATTTTCAAAATACAAATTCCTGTGCTTCTGTATGGCTGTTATATTTCACCTTTTCACCACTGCTTTTTGACTTGCACACCCTCCCTCTTACACATTCCTTCTCCTTCTCAGATACATAGACACTCACCAGACACTCACTTTGTCTCTTTTTCTCTCTCTCTCTCTGTTTCTGTCTGTCTGTTTTTCTCTACCTGACCGACACACAAACACACACCTGTCATGTAATCATGAAATCACTTCTAGTTGCAGATGGTGACTCATCTTTTGTCCCTGGTGAAACCATATCTGGCAATGAGGTCGTAAGACATTTTGGATGAGGGACGATGCAGTGTGCCACTGTGCAGGGCACCGCTCTCCACATGGGGAACTCCTCACTAAACAGCATGCTTTACAGCTGGTAAAAACAAAGATATTAGCCGCCCATAAAGCTTGACAGCTGCACTGCAAAATATGAAATGTTGTATTCCCTTGCCAGCAATATCACATCATCATCAGCATGCTGGTTAGATGTGAGAAAATAATTAAGTTTACAGAGAGATTCCTAAGTGTGGTATCGTGTTCTCAACTACTAAAACTGGAATTGTGGCCAGATCTGTAGTGCTGGTGTCTCACTTATTTTACATTTGAATATACAGTTGGAGAGTTTTTGAAGATTGCATGCAGCTACTGTAGGTCTGCAGGTTAAACTGTGCAGGTGATGGTCATACTGTGCACACTGTAGGTCAGTCAATAAAAGGATGCTTAACTTACTCCATGTGGGTGTGGTGGACACAAGACAAGTCCTACTGGTGTTTATTTAACAATGCATATTAAGACAGGGGCTGCGTCACGTCGACAGACATTCAAAGGCAAATCTCCTTCAGCATCAGGTGTTAGTCAGTGACCTCGACCTCAGTTCAAAGATAGAGTAAAAATACCCTGTATTGCTCTGGCAGGGGCATCATCATTACTTATCCTGATGGGAGGTTCGTGTCATTACACACCGTCTGCTCTCTAATTCTCCCCTCCGACCACAACGGAGGACACACATCCGTGGCGACTCAATTACAGACAACACAAACACACGCACCTCGTAGCAACACAAACACGGGCTGCTCATCAATATGACCGAGGATGGATGACCTTGTGCGTGTATGCTCAGGTCACCTCGTGCGGAAAAAACGACCACATCGAGCACAACAAGTGCCCAAGTGGCCGTCTCACAGACAGTACACACCACATTGCCACCTTGGGTGTATCATCCCCTCTCGCTGCCGTGCGAGGGTTTTTGGTGAAAAGGCAGACAGGCAATAACAGAAACATCCCAGCAGTTACCATCAGCTTGCTGGAATGACCCCCAGCATCATTACTTGACATCAACATGACACACTCAAGGGCATCTGGCAACCAACGCGAGAGCTTTGAACTATACAGAGAGTCTGGATAAAAATTATCCACCGATGGCCGCTGAAATCTTTTGCTCACCTTTGCTGCTATCTTCTTCTCTGTTGAGATGCATGACTCTTCTTACCATGTACTCATTTAGGCTGTTTTGTTCTTGTAGCAAAGCTGTGCTCTTTTCCAAAGAGTTCTCAGGATAAACTCTTATTCCAATTTTGGATCTTTGGTCCTTTGCCCGCTTATTGTCTTGTTCGACTGGCACGCATGGACGCGCCTGCACTTGTGCGTCCTCCTCCCCTTGTTGTGCTGGAGCAGGTGATGTTGGAAGTCTGCGTGTATTTTGTCTCTCTCTCACTTTCTCCCTCTGTCTCTCTCAGTCTCTTTCTTTTCCTCAGTCCAGAGTCGCTCAAAGGGATGGTCGCGGCGAAGGTTTTAGGGAGGAGACGGCAGGCAGACGGGCGGGGTGACGTGAAGTAAGTCGGTAGGAGGTCGTCTACTCAGCTGAGGCGAGGAATCCGTGCGCCCTCAGTGCTGTTGAACATTTCACCAGAGGTTCCCGTCTTCAGCATCACAACACACACGAGACATTTTGTTTCACTTGGGAACTACATATTGAAGAGCAGCTCATGATGACATTGGAGCAGAAATAAATTGATATTAACGTGCATAATTCGTATTGTATATAGGCCACCATCGTTCATATTTGCAAACAACAAAATAAAAAGCCCAGCTGCCCTATTTGATGATAGTGGTCATTATGACAGACAGCCGATTCTAGTCATCCATATACAGTATAGTATAGAAGCATGTCGCTGCTCAGATGAAAAAAGCGCATGTAAAAACAGAAGTATGGAGACATTGCTGTTAATGTGGCCAGCAATGACATGAATTTATGTTTTTTTTCACAATCAGTCAAGATCATCAATCATCCTTACAGCGCTCGTGTCACTGTGAAATCAATAATCAATGGGATTCATTTGATAACGTCTGCGCATAGGGGTACCTTTTTACGCACTACCTGCCAAAGGTTGTAGCCTTGCGCTCACGTGTTGAGCCTTTATAAAGCTTTTCATTAGTGTCAGTGTCATGAGCAGCCTGTGTGTTTCCATTATAACCATCTTGTCATTACAGCCAATGGGCCTATACAGTCGATAAGGCACATTTACTCACCATTCACGTTCGCCAGGAGCCACGCGTGTAACGTGGCTCACTGGCGGTCTCTAGTGTTACTCATCAATCAGTGGCAGTCATCGGAGGCTGATACGGGAGATCATTGCACCCATCCGTTATAAAATATATAAGATAGACCATGTTCAAAGTTAGTGGTAATTTATAACATTTGGCTAATGTAAACTTACATGCATGTAGTGTTTCACTAGCAGTGAATGGACAATGGCATTATGTAACACCAGTGGAAAAATAAACACAAATTAGGAACATATGATAATGATAATGAATATAATATATATCACAGGAGATCTGAAACTGACAAGAAGGTGCCTACCCGTGAATACCTAAATGGGCCCCAAAAGGACTAAAACCTTTCTCTATCTCATAGGGTGCTTCTCTTATTTATTGCATCTGTTTACTCTAAACAACAAAACCCTAATTTACCTGAGGGGGGATGTTCAATTTTCCACATTTACAGTGCAGTATTCTGCTATGTTGAGTCTCACATACACCTTTGTTCTACCACTCCCATTACTGTCTGACACCTCTCTTTTAATAGCACCGTTGACATCTTTTGATTTTTGTGCATCTTTATAAAGCAGACAGTGTTTCTATACAGACTTGCTGGTTCTGCTTTATCATATGTGAGGAATATGTTTAATCTATTGCATACACTGTGCATTCATTCCTGAAAAAAAAAAGCTCTTTCTGTGTATCAGACAAAAACAGCGTTTCCTGTTCCAAACTTCTCATTGCATCAGCTCTCTTCCTTGCCCTCCCTTTTCCTCACACTATCTTTGTGATGAATATTTATTAGCCTGTCACAGTGTCTTCTCTGAACTCAAAACAACACATTCATCAACACAACTCGAGCCATGCTTTAATCCTCCAGGGGCTTTCAGTGACGTCGCATAATTTCACAAAGATTTGCTCAGTGTGGGGGATGTTGTTTTATTTGAAACTATGAAAGAGAGGTTCATGAGCACTCACTGATTCCAGGTAATTTTAGAGCCATTATATCGCAGTCAACACCATTATTGTAATAAGCATTAAAGCAGCCCAGCTGAGCCAGTGCACAGCAGCCTTGGGAGCCTTATTGTTTCAGCGTATATAGGCCACAGATATGCACAAGTTAAATGACACAAGCTTGATATACAAAAGAAACATGATATGAAAGCATCATTGTTAAGCTTAGATTTTCAGAGCAGGTGTTTTTTAAAGTGTGGAACCTCCTTTTTTGAGATGCTAAAGAGATCTATGAAGTTGCCTCCTCTTTAAAAAAAAAAATTACAAGCTGTTGCTTATTTAATGTTTTTGTTGTTATTTCAAAGAAATCTGGCAATACAGTGCAATCCCATCCAGTGTATTCCAAAAGAGAAATGGTCTATTTCTGTCCACATTCCTTATGAATCAGGAAGAAAGGAAGAAATATAAGCATGATTGTGAATTTAAGACGAACAGCACACCAGTAGAAGAAATATTTCCTTTCTTCTTTTGTTGCTAAATAATAACTCTGGTACAGTGAAATGCAACTCTTTCAGTGTAGTGTTCAATGAATCATTGACTAATGTATAAAAAATATGCACCTACCTTTGCAAGTCTTTATAGAGTCTGTCATGTATGTACTCATGTAAGTATTTGAGATATGTCTGATATATGATCTGAAATCTGTTCTCTGTTTCACTGTAGAGCTGTGCTTTGTAATACTAATGTGGTACAGTATGGTAGTGTCTGTAAATATTAAGCTTACCAAAGTTTAAAATCTATCCTCTAATATAAAATCTTTAACATTAAGTACTCAAGGTGATCCAGGTCACAAACATGAGTTGTGCTTGAAGAAGCTGTGGGATCAATAATGAACCAACAAATCTGCAATATGTGACCTATGCTGTAAAGAAAATTCCTGGAAAAGCAGAGGTATTTCAACTATCATGTGAAAAATGTCAGACAAGAGATTGTTCTCTGATGAAAAGAAAATGACTGGTTCAAACATCACAGCTGCACAAAGAGCAATGTCAGTGAGGGTGTGATAAGAGGCTTAGAGAGTACAAACAGGTCAGTGTTGTCAATCAAGCTGCAGTTTCAATGGGTCAGTGAATGGTCATAATGGATATTAATGTGCGCTCTGCCAGCACATATTTAGTCAGAATTGCTAAATGAAAAATGCACAAACAAATGCACCGATGGACACAAACCACTGACCCTTCTATACAGGAAAAACAGGCACTGAGCAACTTATTCTTTAATAAGTAAGAGAAGCTTTTTTTTCAATAAACTTCCCCTTATTTTATGACAGTTTTGTTTCAATAGTACTGGCAATATAAGAGCTCCCTCTAGTGAACGCACTGAATAAATCACAGCAGCAGCATCATCACTATCAATAAACGGTTTTATCATTTAGTAAAACATTACTCTTCAGTGAGTTACAAATTCTAAAAAATTAAAAGGACAAGTATGACGATGCTGCTAGCAGGATTTGCTCTGATTCTAGTTACCCACTGGTACTGCTTTCCTGTCACTCAAGGTTAGAAACATCACCTTTTCTTGGTCTCCACAGTTTCTGTGTAAAATGCAATGTTAAATATTCAATGTACTGTTAGCATGATAACGGTTAACATTTTAGAATCTATAAATAATGATTTATAATAGAGTATAAATAATGATTAAACAAAAAATTACAATCATGCAAGTCCGTTTTTCATGCTGTAGGTATTTCTTTTAAGTGATGTTTAATTAGGTGGTTTGCAAAAAATATTTGCTCATTAATCTCTAAGGAGTCTTGTTTTTAAATAAATCAGTTATTCTCCTCCTTTTGGCTGCAGCTGCACCAGCACTTCTTTCCAGGACCTGTGATATTCAGGTCCATCAGCACTAGCTTACTACTGCCACCTATTGCTTTGGAGGTACAGCACAGCACCAATCAAAGTCAGACCAAATCAAAAAGAAACCTAAACTAAAGATTTTAAACATAACCAAAGCTTAAATAATCCCAGAGGGGAGAGTTTAAGGACTGTTTTGACACTACAGATTTGCATGTGTTTTTTTGACGCATACTCTGAGCCATATGAACTGACAGATTTAATCACATGCTATATTAAGTGTTGTGAGAACACAATAATCACAACCAAGACAGTTTAGGTGTTCAACAGTAACAAACCACGTTAAGTGTGATTAAATGAGAAGAGGGTTGCATTTTTGAAAGGAGAAAGAGAAGGAGTTTGGATGCAGAGTTTTTACATCAATGCTTCAGCCCCCACAGGTGTTTTCACTCATTTCCCTGATTAGTACTCTGATTAGAGCTGTGTTGGTGTGAACAGACTGGGCTTGATTGACATCTTAATCATCACTGTTATGTACAACTGTTAAGAAGGGACAACTTTTACCTTTATGATTTCTATTGGTTGGTTGAGTTTGGTAACTTCATGTAATTGCAGGCTCCACACTGAGCTTAAGTCTTTATGTTGTGTAAAACACTGAATAATGTTGCTGTTGTCATGGAAACTGAAAAATAACTTCTTGTTTAGAGCAGATTATAAAATACCCAATGATGACACTATATTCAGATTCTCAGTTGATCTTTATTGCTTGTTAGCTAGAGCCATCATCAGCATTGCATAGACTATATGACTGAGGAGAGGCAGTTTCTCTTCAGTTCTTACAGGACTTTGAGATAACTGTAGCCAACAAAAGGATGCACATGATTTTACTCAAGTTGTTATTTGACCCATCTTGTTATGACATGTTCTTGGCTAAAGACACATTGTTCTTCTCTTATCTTTTTAAGTCACAACATCTCAAATATGCGTCACCTGTACCTACTCTTTAAACTCCTCCACTGATTCAGTATATCCCATTGTTGTGCAGATATATCACCAAAACTGTCTGAACACACTTACACAGGAAGAGGTGTGACTCCCCCTCCAGGCTAAACTCCTTTATAATGAGTTTACTTGTATTTAGTTTCCCAACAACATAAACATTGTAACATCATGGTGGATATGTGACAAATCTATATTAGCAAAAGCACGATATTTGTAAAACATGATTATAAGAGAGTTTCTAGTGTCTACAAGGTCTGACACCAGAAATTTCTTTTATTAGTTTTACTGTAAGCAGTTGGCTTTTATACTAATATTTTTGAGGAAGTCCTCGTGGCCTGTAATCATTGGGATCTCCTCCATTCCGCCCATGCCGGTTTGCCCGCTGATCAGCAGCAGAGTCCTCAGCACCATGACCCATTCTTTCCTGCAACCACTCTCTGCCATTACTGAAAAGGGGAAAATAGACAATCAATATGAGCAGAGGCATATGACAAAACAAGTACTTTTCAAAACCTACTTACAAAGTCAAATTATGTAGATTTAGTTGTTATCTGCATAGACATAACAATGTATGACTTCTGTGAGCTATTGGTGGCATACAAATGGAAAATACTAAAAATGGTAAAAATTATTCCAGAGGTACTTTACCAGTGGCAAAACAAATGGAGTTAATAGAGCTTTCGGACTCTTTGCTCCTCACCTGATAACCTCAGCTGCCCATCTGCCTCCTGCTCCTCTCTTGGCAGCATCACGGTTTCCTCTGGCATGAAAGTATTTGTCTGAGTTTTTCCAGTTGGCTTCTCTCATATCACGGTATGCTCGCCACATGTCACGAGCTCCTGATCAAAAAGACAACATGCAGGGTTTCAGAATTCATTGCCATGTAAAACCTATAATCCTGTCAATAACAGTTATACACATTGTTCTTATAGAGACATTAAAAAGGACATGCTTCTAACCTCCAGCAGCTTGGCCAGGAAACTTGTACCACTGAGCATGGGTTTCCACAATTAAAATCAGAACAATTCCTGCTAGAAGCAACTTCATGGTTATAGATGTCTAAAAAGAAAACAAGAATAATTACATACAGTTTATCGTTAAAATACACAAATATTTTACCAAATTACAGAATTCAAACTTACTCTGCAGTTCCTGAAAAGTCTAATAAGCTGTAGAGTTGTCTTGTTTGTGAGGACTCTACTGGTCTGACTCTATTTATATTCTGTTCTGAAGAAGGTTTGGCTGGAGGATTTTGGAATCATGGAAATTCCAGTTCATTTCAGGGAACATCTTAAATGCCAGACAAACACTGTGGTTATTCCCTGGTTGTGTAACACAAATCAGACTGAAACTGAAAGTTTTACATAAAAAAAAAAGATGGAAGAGATTTTTTGCTCTGTGTAATAAAAAAAAATGTATTCATAGAGTATAACTTTGCACAATTACCTTTATAAATGCATGTGCAACAATAGTTATTTTTATATGTCTACAGTGACAGTGAATTATTGCTCACATTTGTGACTTCCGGAGGTCTATTTCTACAAAAATGTAATTATTGTTGTTTCTGTTGTTTCCACTGTTGCAGTTTTTACTTTTGTTGATGTTGTGTTATTATTTCTATTAGGAAACTCTCCAACAGGGACACCCTGGTACCTTACCTGGTATAGCTGGCGCTCCATCTATCAAGGCAGAGTCCTTGCTGCAGTGGCCATGGGTTTGACTCCAACTTGTGGCCCTTTTCTGCACACAGTCACTAGTGCAATTATTCAGTCATCCTATAGATCATAGGCTGCATAAGTGTAGACCTGAATCAAAATGAAGTTTAATAAGGAATTTGCCATGGCTTTTTTGTGCATAACAATAAACATAGTAAGTAGAAAATATAAAAGAAATATAAGGCAAGAACTGTAAGTCAAGACGAATAAATAGAAAACTGGAAACATGGTGATAAAATTATAACAATTTTTAAAAATGTAGAATGTATCTTGTTATTTAAATGAATCGTCTGTGCATCATCTCTCCAGCAATGGGGCTTAATAGGTACACTGTGGTCATATCCCTGCTGATGATGATTACATAACGTTTTGTTTTTTTTAACTGACTCACTGATTAAAAGTTTGAGAACATTTTTTTCTTAAACCACCTCTCTCTCATTGCATGACATTGGCCAGGCAAACAGGATATGTTTTTTTATATGCAGTTCCAAATATTTTGCACTTTCATCTGTTTTGAATTCAAGAGTTTCGTCATATTTTGGGCACAGGAGTCCAGGAACAGCTACAGCTTTCATCACAGCCCCAAAGGGTACAGGGCCATGAATTACATTGTTAAAGAGGAGGTTCATAAGCTCAGTGACCTATTTTAAAACACAGGAGAGAGCACATAACATAGCATATAGTTTGAGTAATTCATATGGTCTCAACTATTGACAAACTGTTACCTAACTAACTGCACAAAGGAGGAAGATGCATTTTGTGTTTACTGCTCGTTTATGATGCGGGCAAAGAAGGCTAGAAGCTAAAGTTTAACATTAGTGGTACCAGTGCCTGGAAGTTTACTGGCACCAACAAATAAAAAGGCAGCAGATTCATATGTAAAACAGGAATATTCTCAAATAGAAGTGTCACTGGACAGGTTTTTATTTACCTAACAGGCAAGTCAAATGGTAACATTTTGGAGCCATGTTACTACACTGTATGGACAACATACAATTTACCTGCCAAGCATACCTAAGTATCAGAAGGGCATGTTTTTGTGGCATTAAACACAGCATCAGACTGCAGAATTTTCTATGGTAGACTTCTGGCAGAGAGGACTCAGCTTTTTCACATCACAGAGAACACACTTATTCATTAGCACCTTTTCCAGCCAGCAGGTAGCCTTTAGATGGAGAGGGAATAACAAATAAGAGTATATGAGTGCATATCAGCTGAGGGTATATCACAGGGTTCTAATTAAATTGCATAATTGCTATTGAATAGTTGCGTGCTGGGCTTCAGCCACTTGTTTTTGTCAGCAGGAGTGGGGTGGAGACACTTAGGGAAGAGTGGATTTGCACATTCTGGCTCTGGTTGAGAGGAGATATTCATTTTGCCAACATTTTCTCTCCACTGGATGAAGGGGATGCTGACCAGCTGTGGTGATTTTTGTTGCAGTATTGCTACAATTCGACCTTGTTGCACTCCTTCTCCTATGAGATGAGGCATCCACCTTCTCAGGGAGTGCTGAGAACAGTTTGAAGAGATGCACATACATACTTTATATAAATGCCATACATCATAAAAGCAGTCTGTATCTGGTTTCTGTTCCCAGATAAACTTTTCAACTTGGCTGTGTCATCAGGAAAGTCACTTTGGCACCATTCCTTTCAACATATTCCAGACTCCGGATCAGCCTTTTCCATACGGACACATAAAGTAAATGAAGAGTGATAGAATAACTAACCTCAGTGACTGTATTAGCTGTTCAAATGAAGCAATAAAAGGATTGAAGAAGACTGAAGGACATTTATAGTAGGATGCACACATACACCATTAAGCTCCTCAAGAAACTCTATTATAGCATTTGTGTGTACTGTATCTACATAAATATGTTGATGTATGATATCTATGTGTATATATGTATATACCTGTTTAAAGAGTTGATTCATTTTCCCTGCATTTAATTAAAATAAAATCTGCAGTTAAGTGACAGTCTGACATCTTCTATTTGACAAAAGGTGAATACCCTGTTAAAGATAAGGCTCAGGAGACAATTTAACTTTTCTGTGTAGTTTTCCACAGAGCATCTTTATCTTTTATTAAGTAAGAGCAGCTTTTATTTTTAAATTCTGATTCAGTCAACAGAGTAAAGTAAACAAACTGGTACTCCAGACCTGCCATCCTCAAACTGTCCACCAGATGGCCTCAGACTTTCTTTCCTTTCCCCATCACCTGACTGCCCCACCAATCTACCACCAGGTCCCACTTACCACTCATCAGCTCTGGCCTGTAGTTACCTGGCATACTCTGCCCACTACTCACCTGCAACCCATTCATCAGCCATCTAGTATATCCATCAACTTTCCTTGTTTTCTACCTGGCTGTTAATATTGCCATGTGTCATACTTGTGATTTCTAGCCTGTGTTGATGTGTTTATCTGAAAACCTATAACCTGCCTGTGTTTAACCTTCGACCTGTTTTTATTAGACTACTCCCTTCTAGATACGTTATTTTTGACTGCTTTCCTGGTTTCGACCCTGGCCTATTTCACTCAGTCCATAAACCTATGTACCTTTTTTGTAATTATTAAATTCTGTATCAGTTTACCTCAGTCATCTGCATTTGGAGGCTATCCCTTGTATTGATACCCTGCTGGCACCACCTGTGTCATCTTCTATTTATTTATCTCAATAAATGTATTTACCTGTTTTGTTAAATTTTTGTTTCGATTTCAACAACACTGACAATAGCAGAAGCCCCTTTAGTGAAGTACTGAATACAACATCAAATTAAAAGAATAAAAACATGCAAAACTATCATCATTCGGCAATTTTTATTTCATTGCTGGGGTATAGTGGGAGTAGTATAGAAGACAAGAAAAGCTTTACCTGAATAGTTTAATCTTTGCAGAGGCAAGAGAGTTCCCCCTGGAGTGCAATAAGAGCTTTATATGTTCATAAATAATATATATCAATATCCAATTCCCAGACAGAAAAGTTACTGAATGGATGATTTAACAAATATATTGCAGCAGTGATAACATGATTTGACACAGGTATAAAACAACAAAATCAATGATATTTGTAACATAATTGACAATTATATTTTTTCTAGCAACCTGACATAATAATTTCACTATGTTGTCAGATGGTAGACTAATGAAATCGTCTCCTGTCCCTCTCTTAGCAATTATTAAACAGCTAACATATTAAAATTAATATTCAATTTTCTTTGGAAGAAAATAAATAAATCTATGAAATAATATATGGATTATGAACAGATCTTAACTAGTTTAATGAAAATGTAAAATCAGAACTCCTTTCTCTGTTGGTGAAATAATGTTGCCTTACAAAGGGACTGAATCTGGTTCTCTGTGGCATTTGTGGATTTTATGTGTCTGGTTTCAGCCCCATCCATCTGTGATTGTGCGCTTTGTGCTTCATTCAGCTGTCATGTTAATACATGGCCAGTTGGTGGCAGTGTTGGCCTCCACCTGAGATTAGGCTGATGCTTTTTAGAGGGAATTTAACTTTTAAGTTTAATTTAACTTATATGACAATAAAAGCAAAAATGCAATTGTAGCATTGATAACACAATAAACAAGACTGTGGATGATACAGTTTGTAACACAGTTGATGAATATGATCACATTTAACCTCCGGAATGAAACAACATAGTGACACATCTTTCCAGAAACAGGGTCACTGTTACTGTTGGACTATCCACAAACCTCAGAGAGAACAGTTTTCTTCGGAACTACTTTCTACATTTTGCGCGTCCATTCACCTCTATTGTACTAGGGTGTACAGAGAAATGTGAGCTGGATATCTCAAAATGTACTGCATAGGAAACATTACAGGTGAGAATATATGTTTTTCTGTACTGTTTTGTGAATTGACCCTTTAAACAATCCTATAGCTCATTTCACAAATCTTGCTACTGACGACTCCCTGTTTCAGATGCCCAAAGACTATTAGAGGCCCTGCACACCCACACAGGTGTTGTCAATTTGTTTCTAGATGGACTCTGGTTGATTGGACATCTGCTCAGTGTGGAGCTATGCTGGGAATTACATAATGTCACCACATTAAACCTGTAGGAATGACAAAGGTGAACCTTGTGCCTCATTAACAGTTTTACATTAAGCATTGATGAAGATGTCAAATCAAATCAGTCTGTTCACATGGACAGGTGGAGACATGGACATCTAGAGATCTAATAATGCGGTGAGTGTTGTAAAATGCGGTATTTTTCTAAGTTTGACTTGTAGTTGGCGTATCTCTTAGATGCATGGGCTAGCTGGCTAATGTAATCATGTAGCCATGATGCTAACTTGTGCAAATGTCTATGCAGCATTCAAGGACCAGTGTGTAGGCTTTAGCGGCATCTAGTGGTGAATTTGCAGATTGCAATTAACTGAACACCATTTGATGACTTCAAAATGAGAATGAGCTGTGAAGTGAGACAAAACTGTGGTGGCCATGAACAATGTGAAAGGCCATAAATACAGCCAGTGTTTGATTTGTCCCTTCATGGTGGTTCAACATGGCGGACTCCAGGCAAGGTGACTGCCTCTGTAGAAAAAAAAGA